GTACCGGGTACCGGGGATTGAACTTGGGTCCTTGCGCTTGCAAGGCAGGCCACTGAACCACTGAGTTAAATCCCCGACCCATATAAGCTAATTCTTAATCTCAAAATTTTTAAGTGGATGCTGTTGTGTTAGGCATTAATCATTGTAAAAAAAAAAAGAATGAAAGGATAATGGCTCATTATACATCAAATTGATCAGTTTCCAAATTGTGAAGGTTTTATATTTTCACATAAATTTATTGAAATCTTATTGGGAATGTTAACAAAATTTATATATATTTACATTTGCAAATAATGTGGCATGAATAATGATGAGATTTTCAGATTCTAATTTCAAAGTACTGAGGTTTAGGGAAGTTAAGTTACAAAACTCATTAGTGATAGTCCTGGAAATAGCCCTGTCTCAGTCCACTGCTCTGTCTACTTTGCCATGTCTCTCTTTTTGGAGAGAGAACTTGGTCTGTGTGACTAACCTAAAGCTCATTTAGTACACTGGTGAGCTTTTCAAAGTGCTTATCTTTCAGTACCCAAAGGTGACAACCCTTCTTCTGAGCTTTTAAGAAAAAGGGCGACAAATAGCTTTTGAAATTATAAATTTAGGTCAAGTCACAGTTAGGGGAACGTGCTATTTAGTTGCAGTATGACTTGTAGGTTTCCTAGCTTCTGAAAGTCTCTGTTTTTTTGGCACTGGGGATCAAACTCAGGTCTTATGCTTGCAAGGGAGGCGCCGGAACCCCGGCGCTAAATCCCCAGCCCTGAAAGTCTCTTTTTATTCACACCGAGTGTGTGAACATGTGGAGAGTGGCACAGTGCCATGTGACACAGTGCCTCGGATTGGGTAAAGTTCATTGGCATGCTCTAGAGAACATCACAGTCGCCCACTGTGAAAACTGTTACAAAACCTTTAGGCCTTTAAAAATGAAGAATAGCCCTCTTCGGATTGTGAAGAGTATTTTATTTTAAACTATTTTTCATTTAGTGATAAGCAAGCAACTTTGATTCCTGATGAAGTGTTTGATGCAGTAAAAAACAATACTATCATCTCTGTTAACTTCAGTAAGAATCAGCTGTGTGAAGTCCCAAAAAGGTAAGAAGCATTCACAACAGTTGTATTAAGGGGTGACTCATTCTCAGTTGTGTCTGTATGGTAGTTGCAAGAAAGATTATTTTTCGTTATTCTTTAATTTGAAGGTATGTATTAAATTTCCTGGATTCTTAGTATTAGAAAGATGTAGCAAAATGTCTGAGATACTTTCTCATTTGTCCTGAGGTATACAGGAGTCTTAAAACTTTCTCTTTTTTACATTGTAAACTTGGAGAATAGGTATTAGAGTTATTAGAAATACTGTATTATTTTTCCTGTATAGTGAAATGTTAGAGGAAAATTGTTGAGACAACCCAATTACAGTTCCATAGGTATTAATAGAAATTTTCATTTCAGGCCTATGTTAATGAATTATAGCAGGAATCAAAAGTATATCCAAACAAGGTTGATAAAGAACGTAGCAGGTACCACAACTCTGTGTGAGGCACAAGAACTTTGGCATGGAGTTGCTTGTGCTGTGTCCCAGACATACTGAGGGTGGTTTGGACAGGTTAACCAGCAGACCATCTCCTCTTAGAGTCTTCACTTTTACACTGAGGATAATAGCAATACTTTTTGCAGGAATCAAGTTAAATGACACATTTTGTACATAGCATTTAACCAGGCCCAGTCCTCAGTAGGCACTTAAGTTAAAAAAGAAGGGGGAAAATGAGGAGGAGGAGGATTATTGAGGAAATAGAATGACTTTCATCTGACTGCCAAAAAATTTTAAAGTCAGGCAAACTGAAACATTCTATTTACAAAGCATAGTTTGAGGATTATAGGTTGTGAAAGATGATAACGTTAAGAGCAACCACTGCAAAGGGAGAGCTAGTCTATCTTCTGGGTTTCTCTTTTGTTTATAGGGCTGATAGAATATTTTAGGGAACAGGTGAGCATTTAGACTCGCTCTCAGGATAGGTTTGCTTTGGGGACATGGATCAAACAAGTTAATGGATAGTAACAGTGAAGTAATTTAAGAGATATCACCGTTTTAAATATTTTCTCATTTTATTCCTCAGTCTGCTTCTTGTCCAAATTAAAGTTACTCTGTTACCATGGTTACTGCATCACCTTTTTCAGAATTTAGAAGTTAAAAGAGATGGTAAAGTCCTGCATTGCTTTGGAGTATGCAAACCACTTGCCCTGTTTCTTACATATTTGAAATACATGTCATATTTTTCATCAATAATAGTAGTTTTCTTTATACCAGTAATACATATTCATATATTTTGGATCAAGTGAAGCAAAGTATCAGGCATAGTCCTATCACTGAATTATTGTGCTTAGTGACCTTTTATTTCAAGCTGTTTCTGACTTGAAGTTCTATTATACATGTAATTTATATCTTGACTGCTTTATTTGCTGTATTTACCTATTGTAGAGAACTATCTAATTTAACTATATCCAGTAAGGTTATAGCAACGGATAAAACATTGTCTCCTTAGACCAAATTTCCAGAGAAAAATTACTAAGTCAAATAGTATGCCTCCTGACGGATCTAGCCAATCTCTTTCAAAAAAATATCATTTTGCACTTTGAAACTCTTTTTCTCCTTCACTGCATCTTCTGCCCAACATTTGGCTTTTTTGGATTCTTTTTTCTTTGCTTATGTGATAACACTAAAAGCGATTTATTATAGGTTAACTGTTTTTGACAGATCATATTAAAACTTAACGAAAACTGCTCAGCTTGATTAGGCTTATTTAGAAATGTTTAATTGTTTCTCTTGAAGTCTTTAACCTCAGCTGTTCAGTGGTAACGTGTGCCAAACCTGGGAATTAACTCCATGTTTTCTTATGATTATGATTAAATATAATTTGGAGCACAAATAATATGAAAACATTTAAAAAATATTCTTGAAGTACCTAGATGGATATAGCATTATGTTATATAATCTAAAGATGTTATAGGTACACATATAAAATTTGGAGGGCCAGGGATGTAGCTCAGTGGTGCTGCTGCCTTCCTCACAGGCGCAAAGTCCCAAATTCGATCCCTAGTACCAAAAAAAAAAAAAAAATGGGTTTACAGATTCACGTTATTAACAAAGAAAGTACAAAAACTACCTAGGTCTTATTTCTCCTTTTTGCCACCATGGGTTTAAATACAGAATAAATGGGCTTTACACTTGAACATCAGCATGCGCTGGAGGTCAAATAGAAATTCTTGGATAATAGAATTTCTACAGTAAGGCTGTTTATTAAAAAATTTATTTTTATTAGTTACATATCCAACTGCAGTTTTTGTGAAAAGTAGAAGATATAAAAAGTCACAATCGGCAGAAATGACAGGAATTTCCCTGATGATCTGTTTGTGTACTGACAGCTTTGAAGTTTGGACAGTGAATACAGTGCTCACATTTTAAGGTGATTTCTGTTTCAGGATTGTGGAACTGAAGGAGACAGCTATTGAGGTCACTCTCGGTTTTAATAAGCTCTCCTGTGTATCCTTGGAATTATGCATGTTTCAAAAATTGACTTTTTTAGATCTCAGGTATTTATTGTTATTGTTGCTTGACTTTTAAAAAATCAAATGTTGTCTTTAATTTGCCCTACTTTGCCCTGTATGTCATATTTTCATAGGTAGGTGTGGAATCTGGTCTTTCAGTAATTAACAATATGTGAGGAGAGATCTAAAATTAAATATTTAGGAAATATTTTAATAAGACACTTGTCATTTGTAAGGAGTTTATAAGTTCAGTGATAAGACAAAGATATTTAAAATATTAACATTCTTTAAATTCAGGCCTAAGCAGGACCTGGGGATTTAGCTCAGTGGCACCTCATCTGCCTTGCAAGCGTAAGGTCCCAAGTTTGGTCCCTGGAACAAAAAAAAAAAAAAAAAAAATCACAGCACATGAGAAATAACTGCCTTCATATTTTCCTGAAAGTAAGTAGTGTAAATCTGGCCCAATGCTGTGCAGTCCAGCAGCTTAGGTGGCTTCCCTCACGGGAACTTTCTTGGTTTCAAAGTAGTGCATTGAATATACAAATGTAGAACACTGTGACTGCCAACAAAAAGGAAGGAAAATGAGGTTTAGGCTCTGCAGAAGTAATAAAGTTTAAAGAGGTCCATTTTGAAGTGATGGGATCAGAAGCATGATGGTTCTTTCAGGGTACCTAACGTTAGGTGGTCATTTATATGCCTGGGCTTTACGGTTGTATTTGTGAGACTCTAGGAACTCAAGAATTGTAATCATCTGTGTGTTATTTAGTATAGTACAGACAATAAGTGTAGAAAGCACAGAGGAAATAAAAAAAGAACAGAGCTTCACTATAGAAACTATGACTTCTCTATTAGGCATAACAGATACCCAGAGAAACAGGATAGAGAGAATTCCTCAGTTGTAAAAGATGATCATCTAGTGCAAATCATTTAATCACAAAAACTTCCTCCTCTTAGTAGTTACGCTGCCTCTGAAATCCTCCTGCTTTACCACCCGCTCATCTTCAAACACTGCTCCTCGATCCTTTTAACAAGAAATAGGATTCTCTGTATTCCTGCTTCATTGTCAGATCTTTCTTGCTTAATACCCGCGAGTAGAAAGATCCAAGTTTCTAACCATGTAGAATCTCCTTCACTTCCTGTTTCATTTTATCCTATAACTTTTCAATTCTTGGAGTAGAATTTCATATCTGTGTACCAGAAATATGTATTAACACCAAAAGGGTATTTATTTCATATAGTATTACAAACGTGAGCTGAAGGGCCCGGATTGTGTTACTGAACTCACTTTGAAGGCCTTAAGGAATTAACTCGGTGTTTATCCTCTTATATCTGTTTTCCAGAAGTTGACCTCATTGTAAGCTGGCTGCATATTATTGTTAGGATTTGGCACTAACCAAATGCTTGAGTCAGCTTGACAGATTCAAAATTCTCAGAACTCAGCCTTAATGACATCAGATTATGTATTCACAAACTCATCCATGTATTTTTTTCCTCTTGAAATTTTTAATTACAAATAGACTGTATAAATTTTCAGAAATTGTAAATAATTATTTTTATTTCTAATTTAGGAACAATTTTTTTGATTCTTTGCCTGAAGACATGAAACTCTTGATAAAACTACAACTGATCAATCTTTCCTTTAACAGGTAAGAAACAGAACACAGTCATTACAGTTATTCTGTAGAAAATATGTATTTCTTACTGAGAAAGCAACTAAAAGAGCCAAATAAAAAGACCCCTTATTCTTACTCTACTTCAGTATGCAGATTTTATTTTCGTTTAGTTCTGCGTAGTACTGCAAGTGATTTCTCTTGCTTAGAATTCTTACAATTGATAATCCATCAGAGTTTTGTGCCATTTTGAGAACCCTGTGGTCTAGTGGAAGGAAAAATACATTCAAATAAATAGATGTCATTGCTTTAATGGAAGCGCGTGCAGAGGCAGAGGCACCTTCTGAAATTTCCTGAAGGCGGAGAAGGTGGCATGGAAGCCTAGACCTGGAAAGTGGGCATTTGCCAAGCACGGTCCCAGTTAGAGCACGCAGCCTTCACAGAGTCGTGAGAGCAGAGTGTGCCTGAGGGACTGCGCAAGGCTGTCTGCTGAGGCCACGACTGAGGAGACAGGTGCAGAGGCACAGTGAGATCGGGGATGCATGATGTGGCTCAGTAAAATTTAGATGTTTTCTACAAACACTATCAAGATAGCTACATATATATGGAACAGCTCATATTTGTTGGGAGCCTATTATCTGAGGGTGCTGTACTAAGTAGAATACCCCGGCTCACTGTATGTTCTTTTATTTTGCCTACTTAAAATTCAGAGACTACAAGCTAAGTAATTTATTTATTTATTTTTTGGTACTGGGGATTGAACTCAGATCCTTGTGCTTGCGAGGTGACGGAACCACTGTGCTAAATCCCTGGCCCGAAGCTAAGTGATTTATCTAAGGTGTACCTAGGTAGTAAGGTATATGGAGCTGGAATTGGAATCCAGGTGGTTCAGCTCCAAGAGTTGGGCTCTTAACAACTATGTCATGTTGTTTGCTGTCATGAAAATTGATTCTTGTAGCAATTTAATGAAAACAGCTAGCATTTACTCATAAGGCTTCAAATACATTTATTCATTCTTAACTGATTTGCACATTTAATAGTGTTGTCATTCCTCACTTATGGTGCAGAAGCTAATGCATGGTGATGGTAAATACACCGTATTTCACTTCACATCTGCTTGCTCCATTATTTGTGCTTTTCCCATGGTTAAATCACACCATTTTTGTCATTACCGAAAAATACATCAACCCCTCAGATCTCTTCTAACTTTTACTAGTAAAAGGCGGGCTCAGTTTTCTATTGAGTTGTCTGTTATGCTACCGATTACACTGCAAGCCGTGCCTCTGGGGAAGTGGCAGACGCTAGCCCTAGCTTGTGTGTTACCAGATAGAATTAGCTTCCTTAAGTACTGTGTTTGGAGTTGGAGGACAGTGAAGAAGAGAAGAGGCTTCTCAGGGGCTGGTTGGTCTATCTGTTCTCTTGATTATTGGCTTTTGTGTGCCACTGGGTCTTTAGAGCTGTCTTGAGCCTCCCCTCCATTATTTTTGTTTGTTTGTTTTGTGTGAGAACAGCGTGAGAAGGAAAGAAAGTGTGGGCAGTAAAAAGACCACAGCTACAAAATCTCTCCATGAGCCCACCCTTTGCTAGTCCCCGTTTTAGTTTACTTCATGCGAACACTGCACCAGCCTTTTCCTCTGTGGGTTCGTGTCCGCTGAGAGCAGGCTTGTGAGAGCTGCCTGCCCTTCTTTCTTCCCCCAGCACCTTCAGCGTTGCTTTGGCCTGGAAGTGGGCTGTGTGAGTCTGGACTGTGAAGTCCGGGGTCTGGTCATCCTTTTAAGAACCCAAAGTGTACTTATCTTGGAAGCCTCATTCATTTCAGAGATGAAAATAAAATAAAACTCTCAAATTTTACTTGCTAGATTGGCAGTGATCCATAAGAAGTAAAAGTGAACTCAGGAAGAATACCTATATAAAAATATTGTATAAAGAATCTCAGGAATTAATATTTCCACTCAGCATTAATATTTCCAAAATTAACCCATTTTCTGGAAAATTTGAACGTAGGGCTTACACCGAATATAAACAGAATACATTAAAGAAAACATTCTTTCATGATAAAAAACTTAAGATTATCTATTTTAGGGAAAGATTTTCTTCCGATCCCAAGTGCTCTGTTCATATATTAATAGGTTCAAAGTTATACCGGAAGTCCTGTATGATATCCCCACGCTGGAGATAATTCTGATTGGTAATAATCAGATTGGGTCTCTGGATCCTCAGAAACTGATGACGATGGAAAATCTCTTGACGCTGGACCTTCAGAACAATGACCTTCTACATATTCCGCCAGAGCTCGGTAATTGTGTGCACTTGAGGTAACTACTTTTTTCACTTATTGACTTGATGTGTTGAAGTGGTTTATTTTTTCATGATTTAATCTTGGAGAAAATTGAAGGGCCCTAATACCTGTTAAAACTAACAGTTGATGCAATTCAGAATCCCCAGTTCTGGTTTTCAAATTTTACCAAGTATTTTAAGCTTTGTTTGTATAGTATTATATATGTTTAAGGATCCTAAGCATTTCTAGTAGCACTTTTCTCATTTTTATATATGTTTATAACCTAAACTATAAACTACTGCATAAAACATGCCAGGGATACATGCGCTTTGTGCAAGCCCAGCATGCTCTCTCTCATCTACTGCTCTCTCAGTCTTTGATGTTTTCTTCAGTAATCAGCCTAACAATCCCTTTTGTGAAAACTTTCCCTATTCTTCAAGCAGCATTAGATTCTACTCTGATTTCCTGCTATGTTCTTTTGGACCTTCTTTGTTTTCTTCCGGTACCAGGAGTCAAACTCAGGACCTTGAGCTTGTGAGGCAGAGGTGGCACCACTGAGCTACATCCCTGGCTCTTTTTGGACCTTTTTTTTGCCGTTTTTTTGGCATGTCAGAAAAAGAGCTGCTCCAGTGCTTAGAACATAGTAAGCACTCAGAAGTGCTGGTTAAGTGAATATAAAGGAACTTTGTGACATTAATGGAAAGCTAACTAAACAGAATGTATCTGAGGAGTTTATTACGGAACCACTGCCTGTTTGTTCAGCACGTTTTCCTTCACTGGCTCAGCACCGTAACTGCTCTGCTACTCACAGTAGTGAGTTGTAGGAGGCATGGATAGCTGATTCTCATTGTGGGATGTAGTTGTGCCCTAGAAGTTCGCTATGAGCCAAATTAATAAGCCATTGCCCCAAGGAGAAGTACAGGGTTAGGTCCTCTGCAAAACTGCTCACATTTTCATCAGCCCATAAGTACATAACTGTTGTGTGTGTGTTTCTGTATTTATTGTTGATCGTTAACAAGGAATTCATAGTCAATTGCACTATACTTCATGCCTGAGTGAAGCTTGCCTGACACATACGTTTTCCATGAGGCACATGTATGTTTAGGAAAACTAGACAACACTTCAGCACTTCACTTAGGGGCCATCTTGAACAGTAAATCACCAACACAAACCTGCAGAAATGTGTAAGCTGTGGCATTAGGTGTGTGGTAGAAAAGGCATTTGCTTACAGTGTGAGAGCTGAAATAAAGCAGGTCAGCATCTCGTTTGATGCCATTTGGGACCACGCTGGGCAAGTGACTTCAACACTTCACTGCCCCGTGCATGTCCACAAATGAAAATGCCACATCTATGGATTTTGAGGTTTCCAGCAAATTTAATGAGTAGGAAAATTTGCAAATATGGAATCTGTAACTAATGATGTTCAACCATAATGAGCTCCGTTTTTCTAGAAATTAAGAATCTGAAAGAATTCCTAAAAAACAAACATATGAAGATACAATTTAGATCATCAGTTGTAATATGGTCTGAGTCGTTTGACTTTTGTTATATGAACATTTAAATTCTTAAAGTTAACTTAAAAGTCTTCTAATTGAAGGTATTTCACAAGTTATATAAAGAAACAAAAGAACCAGCGCCTAATTCTTTAGTTGAATGTGAAAACAGAATATCTGAATATGTAACTGTACCTGGCTAGGGAGAGAGCGTGGACCCTTGCTAAGATGCGAGGATGATGGTGTAGTCCTGGTCACCCGCTCCATCTGTCTAACCCTCTCTGTTCCTATAGCACCTGGCCGTCGTTAGTCTGGGAGGAGGCGAGGAAGAGCGATGGTTCAGATCACAGCTCCGCCATCTAGTGGCTGTTTGATCTTCGGGCCATCGCACCTCCTTAAATTTGTGTTTCCCAGTCCGAATCAGGAATGTTAATGGTACCTACATCACCAGATTGTTAGGACAGTTGTGACAGTAAAAGTAAATAATTCAGTACCTTTTATGTAATGATCACTCAGTACTATTTAGGTTGTTATTGTAGTATAGTTCCAACTTTAAATGCTCAGATTTGAAAAGGGACAGATAAAAATACAAATTTTACCTATAAAATTGCAAATAAAATTTATTTTCATGAAAAAATCTCGAGTGGGAAACGTCTTAAGTTCTCAATTTCTCTCTCTTTTAGAACATTATTTCTAGATGGAAACCCATTCCGCGTCCCTCGAGCAGCTATATTAAAGAAAGGAACAGCTGCAGTACTGGAGTACTTGAGAAGCCGAATTCCCAGTTAAATGGAGATATTTTCTAACTTTGATCAGTTTAATTCTCACAGGGATATAGTATTTTGTTTCAGTATCATCCTAAAGGTGATTGCTATAATCGGTCTTATATTTCCCAGTGTCACTTAGCCATTGGCGTCATTGGCGTCATTGGCCTGGGCTCTCTTCACTGTCACTGTTTCTTACTGACATTTGTTTGACACTTTTCTAAGATGTACTAAATATGTACAATGGTGAAAACCACATAGGGCCACGTAGTGTTCAGACTGTTAAATGTTTTACCCAGGATTTATCCTGCTCATATTCATTCCCTTAGTCTCATAGGTACTTTCTTCAAAACTGAATTGTTTTTTTGTGACAGGATCTTGTAGTGCAGGCTGGCCTGGAACTCACTGCAATCCTCCTGCCTCAGCCTCCCGAATGCTGGGATCATAGATGTGCGCTACCACACCCAGCCAAAAGTGAATTTTTGTTCAATATGATTTATGTTTTTATAAAAAAACATTTTTGTAGAACTGGGTTTTTCCCCCTTCTTTCTTTTTGTATTCCATATAAAATTAACATTGCCTTGTTTTTATTTTTAACCCAGTGGAAATGTTTCTTTTCTAGTGATGAAATAGGTCTTTTCTGTGTTTCGGCAAATCATTTCATTGTTTGCTGATTTTGTAGAAATGCTACTCAAGATACAGAAATTGATGAAAAAGTGAAAATGTCACGGTGATGCTGTGCAGAAGCAGCGACACCTTCACTTTCCCCCGCCGCTGCATTGACACCGACAGTTTAAGTCTTGTCTTCGTGTGGTAATCTACCACTTTTTCCTTCCTGAGAATGAAAGAGGCTACCTCTGCGTGCTTCCCCTCAGTCAGCATTTAAATGCCTTTTGTCCCGTGAGGAAAAAGAAAATATCGACATTATTACCTTATCAGTTGTATAGAGGACAGCAGCAGAGAAGTGTGAATGCTGTCCTTGGGTAGCCTGCACGTGCTTTGTTTCTGTACTTACTGGGCACGTATTTGTGTACTCTCGTACCTGTGGGCGTGTTCTGATCCAGCCTCGTGTATTGTTTTATTTTCAGCACTTTAATTTTAAAATTTGTTTGCAGTCCTGATAAGATTAGCAGCCATGTAGTAATTTTCTAAAAGGGAACTTAACATAGGTAAACTTGATTTAATAAAAGTCAATATAAATAGTTTTGTTTACACTAAAATTATCGGGAGTAGGTTGGCCTGTCGCTAGGACACTTGCTGCTTCTCCTAAGTATCCAGTTCAGTGGCGTGTATGTCAGTAGACAGATGTGATTTAGATAGCTCTGGAGTGACTGAGGCATGAATTATGGAAAAGGCCATTGGGAATGAAGATGAATACTACATGTTGATAATAAACTTTTCAAGCATCAATTACAGTGTTTGTTTTTGTGCTGAAAAAAACATGCTCTTTTGTTACAATTCTAATAGTAAACAAGACACTTTACAATAAGGTGACATTTTATTATTTATACAATAGAGACTTTTATGTTATTCAAAACACTTTTTTTAAATACTGAAAAAATTGAGTACACCAAAGCCGAAAAATGGCTCTGCTGTACACTGCACAGCATCATTTTAGTCCCTGTGTTTTGTATCTGTACAGAAAGCATCTTCAGAATGCATTCTAATCACATTGTACACCTGTACCGATTAGTGTCAATACATAAAATAAAACTGGCAAGTACAGCTTGCATTTGCAAATTAACTGACAAGTAATTAGTTTCACTGATTCAGTAAATTTAAAATATAAATTCATAGGACTTCTTTGCACATAAAGTGAAGCAGCTTTCAAGGTTGTTATGGTCTCATACTGCAAAAAAAACTTAAGTACATTCACAATCTATGTTAATAAAGTAGTAAATATGTCTCCATTCAGTTTTATTTACATCAATATGTAGTTCAACTAAAAAGTACTGTTAATCATGATACAGTAGTTTAACACATACAAAAATGACAATATATATAATTTTAAGCTCAAAATCACAATTATCTCAAAATATTAATTACAATACAGCCATTTCAATTAAACATGTCATGATTTTTTTTATAAAATGGTAAAACTTTTTTTATTAAAGTAAGCAATTTATCTCGAATTGGCTAGAGTATGCCCAAGTAGAAAATCTTAAATGTTAAAGAGGTGTTTCCTGCCCCCTCCCACCCGAATTTGTATACAGCCACCTAGGCTAGCAAAGAGACAGAAAAGGCCCCAATTTATAAAGATTAAGCCTCTTTTGCTATGCTGCTGTGGCTTGTTGGTTCTTCCATAAAAGCTTTACACGGGGAGTACCAGTAAGCTGTGCTGTGGGATGCATGCATTCATATATAGTATGTCTATGTCAAATGTCCGTGTCCACTAATGCACATTAAAAGGTTCACAGAGACCGCAAAAGAAGTCAGAAGTAAAGAAGCACTTCATCTGCCAATCACGTATTGTACACTGGAAAGCTACTTGGTAATAGAATGGAATTTCTTTGAATTCGGATTCCCAATTCCAGTCCTTTCTCTGACTAAAACAGCGTTACTTGGCCTTAAGGTGTCACTGTTGCGCTGCACATATGGTAGTGAAGTTGTCAGGAAAGAATGTGCATTTAGAGACTGCATTTTACTAAAATAATGACTCAAAGTTGCATCACTGCTCAGGAGTTTCTCTTAAATGTACAGGAGAGTGAAATATTTCACTAACTGAATTATATGACCTCAAGTTGAAGGTTTGTGTGTTTGGCATATAAGAAAATACAAAGGAGGAATTAGAACTTAGAATTTTACAGAATGCTCCAACAGAACTGAAGTAAAAAATGGTCAATTTTTAGCTTAGATAATGAGTAATTTTCATAGATACTTAAGACCCAAAAGCATTATGTAGTATCTTTTCACTTTAAATTTCTAACAAACCCCAAACCGTATCACTTGCCTTCCTTTACAATCACTGCTGTTTAATATTTTTCCTCTAAGTGGGCTAAGACCACAGTTCATTTTAGGGTTCACGTATACACAGCCGAGTAGGGAGTTCACGTGCATGGATTCCAAAGTGGGAAAAAGAAAAACAAAACTATGGCGCCTGGAATAAACTACAGTTAAGCTTGCAATAACCCTACTTTTACAAGTCATTTGTTAATGGTCTTTGAAATTCACAATCCGGTAGATTTACCTCTGATTTTCCACTGACCTTGGAAAATCGCCTCCCTCCACCTGTAGATCATGGCATCATCCTTAAGCTTCCATTAGTCCCTTCGATACAGGAGCTCAGTGAGAAGACAGAGTGATTGGCTCTTCAAACAAAAAACAGGGTTTACCCATCATCTTTTCCTCATTCCAAACAAAATAGTAAGGCTTTCGTTTTCAAGGAGGAAAATGTAGTTAAAGGGAAATGCCTCATTGTCAAAGAGCAGGAGTATGGAACATTTATTGCATCCCACAGACACTAGGTGTCATCAAAGCTAAAAGTCCTGTTCTTTCTGACCAGAACCAGATGCCTTTCCCACATTGCAAGACCAGCAAGAGTCCTCTGAGTGGAAAGACTACAAGTATTGAAATAAAAGTGATTTCAGCAATACTTTCTGAAAAGAAATTTTTCTGGCCAACATGGAAATTGCTTTATATATTACATGAGTTTCTTCTTCGTTTTCCTACGGTCTTCACAAAAATTATCTAAGATTGCTGAACTAAGTAAGATTCTTCAGTCCAAGCCTAGGGAAGTCTAGGAGGGTTGGAGAGATACAAGGAGATACAATGTGATTTCTTTAGTCCATTTGTCAAATGCTTTCCTTAACTGTCATACAGACGGGGCATTGTGTAACCTCATTTACTTCAGCTGTGCAAACAAAGACACAAAAACTCCTACATACGCGTGTCTACACGTAGACACAGAACCTGAGTCACAATAAAAGTTTGTAATATAAGAAAACTTTTCTTAATGTAGGAAAATAACCTTTAAAGAGCCAAAAATACCTTTGTACAATATAAGCAGCTAACTTTAAAGCTTCGGTGTGCTTACCACACATTTTATAAGACTCAGCAAAAGAAAAAAGAAGGATAATTTACATTTGATAATTTTCTCAACTCTAGCCGAGATAACCATTTTATATCTAACATCTATATTCCCCTGAATGCATTGGTTTTTTAAAAGCAAAAACCATAACAAGGAAACTACACACATTCAAATGAGTCCTGTTTAATTTCTGACAGTTCCTGCTTTTTTTCTGAACACTGGGGGCGGAGGAGTTTGGGGTTGCTAGTGCCAACCTGCAGTGGAGTTCTAAAATTTAAAACAAGCTACACAATCTGTTATTAAGAGAAACATTACTTGTGAAAACATTTTCACTCAGAGTCTGGCCAAAGTTTGCCTAAAGCTGGTCTCGTTTTTAGGTGCCTGCTCTTCAGACTGTTAAATCTTCAAAACCCCTGCTTTTCCCACCCTTGGCTCCTTAGCTCTCAGTGGGCTTGTTCCTTTTTCATTCCAGGTACTCAACTGTTCTGGCCGGAGCAACTCTGTACATGCAGCTGCTAGTTACAATGTCCTCGTCCCTTACCTACACCTAGATTTTTGGTTTCTCCTCTTCAGGAGCTCAGTGCTCCAAAACAATTCCTTGGCTTCCCTTTTTGTACCATCTACTCTTCAAAGAGCAAAGCTGCTCAAACGTCCTCGCTGTCTTGGCACTACGTACAGATTTAAGGCTCTTAAATTTAGGGTATACTTATTCCCTGGGCTACCTCTCAGATACATATTGATACTTTACAGAAAAGTGAGTGGAAGTTGCTTTTTCCTGCTGCCCCTACTGGGTTCCATTAATTATGCATTTATGTCAGCTGTCACTGTCACACTGGGAGAAGGGAAGCCATCTGGACCCGAAGGCTCATCCGGGCCAGGAGGGCTCTGGATACTGGCATCAGTAGCTGAAGGGTTCTGGGCCATGCCCTCAAGAGCTTTCTGTTTTCCCTGTGAGTCTAGTTTGGGGAACAGGATGGGAAATGTATGCCAGAGGGTTAGGGATTTTTGGCATTAGCAAGAAACTGGAGTCTTCCTGCCTTTTTCTATAACACTTGCCTGAGAAGGATTCTGCATCGTGCAGAAGGCGAAAAGCAGAGTCACATGTTCTCTGCTAACAGACTTGTTGCCATGGGAACCAATGCAGGAAAAATGAAAATACGACAAGCAGCGAAGAATCAAATATGGAAAAAAGGAATTGTTAGGGAGTTGGTTTCAACATGGCAATTTGGGCATTTGGGATTTAAAGAGCGCCCATTCCTCATGTGGTCAAATCAACGGAAGTGGACCAAATGCCTTGATGGTCACCGGCCCCAGGAGGCCAGAGATAGGGGTGCAGGAGAGAGTGTGTAAGGACTGCAGCTTGCTTGAGGGGAACGCTGTAAAATCCAGTTCCATCCCTGATAAAGTTAAGCTCTTCAGCCCCAGTGCTCAGCTAACTGTAGGATCAAACACGCCCCTCGGGAAAGCGTGTCTATGCTTAGCTTCGTGAACAAAAAGCAGCCTGCTGTAATAGCCCTCTTCTAACCTTCCA